ATAATATATTAATAAACCATAATATCCTCTCTCTCATATCAAATTACCTTGTCAAGTTGCTTTGGTGAATGCAACCCAAAAGGACCATGCACAACCGGGTCAGGTACATACCAAATATAGTTACGGGCTTAGACACTAATCCAACAATTAATTATCTAGTTGGAAAATCTTTTTTGCAATGCTGAACGACCTGGCATGTAGGGATGAGTTGTATTCGTTTTTTCAATCCCAAAATAATCGAGGAAACGATGGAAACGAAGATGATGGTATGTAGGCCAGGATGAGTTTTATTTGCATACGTTGTCACGCTTTGCTACTTGGTAGATTGTAAAACTTTGGTTGCTTTTTGTAATTACCGGCGACACTAATACCGGGCGACATTATTACTTTTTATATTTAATCGGATATTATGACTTTTTTAATTAATTATAATCGCATGTTTGTTTTGTAATTAGCGTCGACACTATTATTTTTTATATTTAATCGAATGTTGTTATGTAATTACCGAGTACATTATTACCGGCAACCAAAATCGCTAATTACAAAAAAAAATTAAAAAAAAATGAAAATTGTAATTACCGGCGACACTATTACCGGCGACATAGTCATTAGCAGCGACACACCTTATTACCGGCGACATGGTCATTAGCGGCGACATCTATCATTAGCGGCGACAAGTTCATCAATAGCGACGAAGTAATAGCGGCGACTTATTACCGGCGACGCGTCGCCGCTATTTCTATTACCAGCGACAACTTGACTTATTACCAGCGACTTTTGTCACTAATGATCGTTTTCCTTGTAGTGCATGCTCATTTACAATTATTTATTAACGATCTTTAGTATTTTTGTATATACGACTAATTAATCTTTTGAACAAACAAAAACGAGTAATATAATTGTTAAGTTGTATAAAATAAAATAGATAAATATGTGTTTTTTAAAGACGTGGATACATTTATTTCATGTTTTAATCACAAAACAGAAAGTTATGAAAAATCTTCAACTGTTTCCTTGATTCCAGGTCAAAGAACTGCAGCGAAATCCAATTCTGTTTAAAACAAAGGAAATTTTGTTTAAGAAAATTATAAATAATAATATCCTCCCTAACCCTTGTTCTTGGTACAAGATAGACAAACATGGCTGAGCACCACCCTTCCCCTCATAACATCATCACGGAGCTGCCACACGACGTAATCTTCTACAACATATTACCACGGCTGCCGGTAAAATATGCAACAAGTTTAAGATGTGTTTCAAAACAATGGAACTCCTTCCTAAACACCCGTCTTTTTACCAACATGCACCTCGACCACCATCAAAACCACCACAAACTTCTCTTATTCTCCGATACAAAACCATGCACGCACTTCCGCACTGTCCACTGTGAATCACTCTTGAGGATGGTTTCACCAAAAGCCGCTCGTTGCCATTTGTAGCCAGTAGTTCTAAAAACATAACGATTTTAGGATCTTGTAATGGACTGGTTTGCGTAGGCGTAACCAAGGAGGGGAGAGAAGATGGGTATTACTCTTTTATGATGTTATGGAATCCTTTAACAGGTGAATATAAGAGAATGTCTGGAGCTTATTCAGACGCGAAATGTTACAAAGTCACCGGAAGTGCGTCCGAGTTGTACTACAAAGGATCTACGGATGACTACATGGTTTTACGTGTAACTGAGGATGGAGATGCTTACATATATTCGTTGGAAGCTAATTCATGGAGAAAGCTGTATTGCACGGAGGATTTAACACGTAGACGAACCAAACTTGTTTGGGGTGCAAGTATTCTACACAATGGAAACATCTATTTCATAGATGAGGACGTGAGAAGAATTAGAAGTCGATTATCGTTTTCGGTTATAAAGTTCAACACAAAGAAGGAAAAGTTCACAGTGATGGAAACTCCTCGTTTTGGAGATGTAACGACTGACTATTTGAACTCCATGGTTCTAGAAAAAGAAGGAAAACTTCACTTGTGTGTGACCTATAAACGAAATTCTACAGATCAGTTGGGTGGAAAGTTATGGAGGATGGATGGAGATGTATTTCGGAGGAAGGTGGTGAGGTATCAGATACCAGGAAAGTTTTATTACTTGAAACCGCTGCATTTGATGAAGAATGGGAATTGGGTCACAGTTTGTCGATCTGGATGCCATGTGAACGAACTCGATCCAGGTAGGGATTTTGAAAAGAGTTCGTATGCAACAACAAAAAAGGATTATAAAATTGATTTCCGAAAAAAAGGGATATACATCGAGACTTTGGTGTCGCCCAATCGAAAGATGAAGTAACACAGTTACACAGCCCTACTTTGGTGTTCTTGGTTTTTGTTGATTTCATTTAATTTCTTATTTGATGTTATCGTGACTTTGCATTCATTTTTTAGATTTCTTTGATTGATGCTAATTTCGTTTTCTGTTCATCACTCTAGGAACCTTACTAGATATTTGGTATGCAACACACATGGCATGCCTAGACATATATAATTAAACAAGTAGATGCCTGATGATGAATATTTGGATACGATATTATAGTAGTTGTATATGGCTAATTCTCACCAAGAATACTCTAATTGCATGTTTGGTTCACAAATAATTTTGGAAAATTTTGAAATCTGTTAAAAAAGTTGGATTATGAAATCCAATTGAATCATATTCGGTTATGCTTTTGGTTGGTATAAATTAAAATGAAGTTACATTCCATTCTTTTGAATCTTCCCTTTTTGGTCTTGGAATTGTGTCAAAGAATTTAGAATAGGATTATCTAACATACTCCTAAATGCTTTCAATTATATTTTTTTTTTGACATTTATCAGTTTTTTTTTCTTATTGTATTTGTTTATTGTTTATATAATAAATGTTATAAATGCCTTTCAACTTCAAGAATTGCAGTAATTGACTTAATTTCTTCAAAAATTCAATAATTGCCTAGCTTTCCTTATATATTAAAAAAAAGTCTTTAAAATTTATGATTCAGGAAAAAAAATTTAAATATGTCAATAGTGTTTTATTTGTATAGATTGAATTACTTAGTTTTTTTATTATTTATGTCCTATTTATTTAGAAATTTCACTTTAAACATTTTTAATGTTTGCACATTTATATTTAACTTTTTTTAATCCACCTCTATAGTACACAGATTTCACAACTAATGAGTGTACCGAAAAACAAAACCAAACCAACCCATAATAATCCAAAACAATTGAAAAACTCGTGTGCCTAGAACAAATGGGTTACAATTTTTTTGTCTTTTACGCACATAATTGCCCATGGGTTCCTCAATTATAACTTTAATTTTTATTCCTTCAAATGATTGTACAAAAGATTTACATGCGGCAGAGTAAGAGCACACGCAACACAACAAAGAACAAATTACAAACGGGATGACGTTCTCAAGAAACTTCTACAAAACTCCACAAGTTACTGATACACTTAACAACTTCTCGCAGAGCCAAATGCTAGATCACATGCTTGGTGATACCTTGGAGACAACTAGACAGGCGCGGACAATAAAATATAGTAAGTCATTGGCTCCTCTCGACTCTCAGGAGTTGATACTTACCATCAAAAATCTTTTTTTAAAATCCGACTCATGTTTAGAAACCAGAATCATCTACTCGCAAAAACCAGACTTCTGGAACCAAAAAAGCAAGTGCTTGCTTTAGTTTTGGATCCTTAAAATGAGAAATCTATAGAGATTGACGTGGACAATAAGACCTCGTTTGTTTTTCTACAAAAGTACTTTTTGAGCACTTTTCCCTTCTGGCGGGTAGACGTTTCTCAAGTGCAGTCTTCTTCCGCAAACATGGAAAAAGACAAAAGACATTTCACCACTTCCAAAATAAACAGCACCTAAGACTCGCGTTCATAATTTAAACTCGCCTTTGCATAATCGCAACTTACATTTCTTTAATTTTTGTTTTTTTGTACATTGCAGATCTGGTAATTGCTTCATTTAACTCTTCCAAATTTTATTTTATTTCACAAATTGATGCTTCTGATTTTGTTTTGCTTCTATTTTTGTGTCTTTCTATTGCAAAATTGACAAGGACATCTGCAAATAAGTGAAAATAAAATCTACAAATCAAGTTTGTTCTCTCTTTTCTACACTTTAGTATGCCGTGTGGAATAAAAACATGAATCCAGATATGAAAAAAAAAACTATTCTAAGAATTGAAGAATTAACTAAATCTAAAAAGTATCTACTGATTTATAATAAAACAAACATCAAACTATCTGGAAATGAAAGTTAATTGTTAATATATAGTGATCCATGTACAAATTATGAGCAATAATGTTAATAATAGTAATGTTGATGATGGTAATGTTGATTATGATAATGTTGACGATGTTATCTTTTAATGGTGATAATGTTAATGCGTTGTTAACTACTTTCATACATTTTATATATTTGATCCAAGAAACAAGACCTTGACTTTAACATGATAAATACTTTAGCATAAAAGGTCCTAAAAAAGATTTATCCTTTCAAAAATGTCCTAAAGATAAATATTTAACAATATTTTCTGCAATATATTATGCTAGAGTTTTTGCAATATATTTTGTTTTTGTTCTAAGATATTTAAAGTGTGAAAAGAGTTGACTAGAAAATGAGCGTTTTGGAGATGAGATTCATCTTAACACTAGAATTAAAGAACATGAAACTAGTAGTAACATGTTAAAAATATAAATATTTGGTATCGTTTGCGTATAAGATTATTAAAAAAAACTACTAATAATGCGGCTAAAAGAATAGAAAAAACAAAAAGATTATATGAGAAAAGTATTGTTACAAAATATCTTTTTATTGAAATTTCTTGCTAAACATAGCTTAACATTTCAATTATAAATTTTATTAAAATAAAAATGGTAATTTCTTAGGCTTAATCGCAATGCTGACTAATTTTCCTTGGTTGCTAAAAAGCATGTTCAATGTATTACGAATAAAAATGTATCCATAATCAGTATGTTTATCATATTATACAAAATGAATTAATATTTTGGTTTTATTATGAAATAAAATCTATCATCACTAAATACTAAAAAGCAAAAAAAATCATAATACATAATTATACTCAATATATAAGTCATCAATAATAAATGATTTTGATTTTAAGATATGTAGATGTCTCATCAAATATTGTTTGCATTGAAGTATCATTCTTAGGGTTTTTCAATGTAAATAATACAAACGGCGAATGACTCCTTCATGTTTTACAAAGTGAATTGAATTGGTTTGATCTTGACATTAATAATGTATGTGGATAAAAAAACAAAGTATGTGATTTTGAGTTTGTAATAGCACTATTAATTTGGTATGAAACTTGATATATTGTTAATTTAGTTAGAAACCAATTGCAATCAAAATATATGCTTATTGATAATGTTATCGAAAAAATAAAGGGACTGGTTTTTGTAACGAATATAGAGAAATTGGTTTACTAAATGCTTTATAATCTGTTCAAAAACTGCTTTTGAAATAAAAATTGATCCAATATTTCCGAAAAGACATGAAATTTGAAGACAAATACATTTTAATGAGATTTCAAACAATACCTCATTTAGTGTTCCACAATCTATACAAAAATCTTTTAGGGTTAAATATTTATTTTATATTGTTGAATAAACAGTTACTTTTCTCGCTACAAGTTTTGAACAATATCAACAATATGATAATATTTTTGGTTTGTTGTTTAATCGTGACAAATACCTTCATTACATGATATAAGCTTAAAGTTTTATTGTAAGTCTTAAAATTTCAGTTAAGGGAGATGCACAATTAGATATCAGTAGAAACGAATTATATGTTTAGTTAAAATGTACTCCTACATCTCTTGCCTAAGGAAAATATACCAACAATTGATATCCTAATATTTTTTTCAAAATGTTATACATTGGTCGCTTTAAGGAACGCCAATTCTCGAGAGATGTTTCATTGCTACACTATAGTTTTTTTTATATATTTTTATTTTTTTATTTTTTTTTAAGTTTTACACCCTTTAAATGCAAAAGTGTCAACTAAACGTAATTGTTACTGGTATTTAAGTAATATCAAACTAATATGATTATATGACACATATTTCTCATTTTCCGCTCTAACGCTCCACCGTACCCGCCGTACCGGCAGCAACGGGGCATGCCTAATCTTAAATGATTATATGGCAAAGAGGTATA